TTTTATGACATTATAATATATATTAGAAATTCATCAACCCAGCTACATCAACAAACTAAATAATAAAATAATAAATAATAAAATTCATCTATTTTATCATTTAAATTAAAAACCATAAAGACATGTCATAAAAAATTATTAAAATAATTAACTTTATAAATAATTCTTTTCCGCATTTCTATTCCTTGAAGCTAATAAATTAGCCGATTTAAAACAAAATAGCATGGCAACAAATAGATAATATATAAAAATAGATAATAAAAAGGAATTGCCTGCAAGTCTCCTTTGATATTTTGGGGTAGGTAAGTAACTATCAGCCTATAGGGTAGGCAACCCTTCAAACAACCCTGCATTAGATGCATGTCTACACCTGCGTTATGTAGGAGCAGAAATTTTTTTTGACACACACTTTTCTAGTTTAAAAAAAGGTCAAATGCTTAATAAGGCAATATGAAAAAAAAAGAGAAAAAGTTCGTCCGAAATGTATCAATTACACGAGTTATTTTCACCGGTATATTGCAACGCGTCGATTAAATAAATTAATTCATTATCCTCTTACAATGTTGGACCCCCTCCCCTCCCTCCTACCATGGTTCCTTACCCCATTTGTCGCTTTACGATTATCCGGATCGCATAAATTGGTCAAAACAAGTAATGTCACAACCGTACTATAACTTCTTTTTGTAATTACGGTGATTAAAGTGTCTGCGCAGGAATTTTTCCTCATACAAAATTGTCTCATCGCCACATGTAACGTCCACATGGTGGGAATACTTCGGACTTGTATCCGTTTGAAATATCGAAGGTATTCGAGATAATCGTACGTTTTTTTCATGCGAGAATCTCACGATATATAATGTTAACTTGTATGTTATTTTATGCTGCATATATGTGTATATATATAATCCTAATCATTTATAAAAGCCTAAAGAAGTAAATCAAGTTTATGTTAATACAAAAAATCTAAGATATTTTAAGATGTCAAGAAATATATAAGATGTTTTTAATAAAATACGAAAACTAATTTATGTATGACATAAAACTTGACATAAACGTGAGAGAAATCAATTTTCTTAATTTTTATCATACTTGTTTGAATAAAAGATAGCGCGGTTTATTAAATAGAGATAAATTATTAAATTAATGCAAGTGCGATTTGAAGAATTATATTTTCAACTCCGCGTAAGAGAACGACCCGCTTCATACTTTCTTCTATCGCGTCACTTTCTAGCTAATAATTGGCGCGTGAAGAAATATAGCCGAAATAAATAGCTTCGCTTTTCTTGGAAGTCATGAAAAGGCACAAAAATTTGCACTCGCTCTTGCAACCTCTTTCAGCTATGTGAACATTACTAAAATTAATTTTTTACTAGAAATAAAAATAAATTAGATATATAAACAGTTAATAATTGATGTCTAAAATTGAAGAAAAATACTATAATTTTGAAAAATATCCGATTTTATTAACATCGGTGATAATGATCTGTTTCTTCTTATATTTATATATCAACGTTATTTTTAAAATATCCAGAAACAAATGATAATATAACTTTTATGTGTAGATTAATCGATCCCAAGACATGTGTGGGGCATTACATGTTAAACGATACTACACAGCACGCAAAAAAGAAACATGCTGCTCCCGGTAGCGAAAGTAATAAAATCCGGTTGCGTGTGCCGGCTCGAGAGCGCTTTCGGCGGCGAACAATCGCCGCTACTTTCTCGGTTTGACATTTCTCGGCGCGAAGGAAAAGCACGTGTCGCGCGGTGCGGAATCGGCTGCGGCTACCACACACATCTCTCTTCCCTCGTATATACGACCGATAGTCGACGGCCTTTCCTGTCGTCCGCGGGAGTGAATGGCGCCGTATCTCCCTCCTCGTCGCGAGGCCTCCTCGCTCGTGCCTCGCTCGCGCTACTCGCTCCATTCCCACGGCCCCGATCTCCGCATTAATGCGAGCCGGCGCGCACACGCGCACACGCGATCTCCGTCGCGCGCGCGTACGCACGCGTGTCACGTACGCCCGTGCGCATTAGCTGACTCGCGCACGCGGAACACTCTCTTGCACGCGAATTTTTCCGGTAGATTTTTACTATTTTCCCTATGACGTATATTTAAAATTATACTTAAAATTATCATATTTAAATTATTATTAAATTATATTTAAAATTTTCTATTAAAAATAGTCGCAGAATGCAATTTCTATAAAAAAAATGCATTCGAGAAGGGTTCTTTTAATTTCTGGTATACATCGACTTTTGATCAAGAGTCAGAAAATCTCATACTAATATTACGCTGCAAAATTTATAAAATTTAATATTCATATGTATTGTCATATATTTAAACTATATAAAATTATAATATAAATTTCGAATAATCAAATATTGGATTTTATTTTATACCGACTTCTTTGTTGATAGACATAAAAATAAATAAAACTTGCATCGTCATGTTAAGAATCACAAATTTTTAATTGCAAGAGATTGTCGGGAAACAAATTACATGTACTAAATTCTATTTTCGGCTAAAAAGTATACTTTACCCGTGCATTATTAAATCGTGTATCACGACTAGAAAGAGCCTAGATACGTATCATCTAAAAAATTTGTTCGATGCATGCGTCATTAACTCTAAATCTGTCGATAATTACGCAAAGAGCAACAGAGAAGTCACGCCAGTTTCGGTTGCCAAGAAAATCACTGTCGGCGAACAAACAATAGCCAGGGGAGAGAGGAGTGCTTCTTTCACGATCGAACAAAAAGGCGAAAGGAAGCCGGAACGAAATTGGCTCATGACTAATGCCGTTGGTCATAGATGATCACGAAACGTGTCATTTCCGTGCCAATCGCGCGCAATGTTATTCACGGAAAAAGAAAAAGAAGAAAAATTGTGTGTGTATAAGTGTGATGTGTCTCCTCGCCTCGACGCATACACGACCTCTTCTATGTCGCAACTTCTTTAGGATGATGAGAGCAATTAAAATAGAAGACCGTTGCGTAACGATGCATCAATAATGGCGTGATCGATCAATGACGCGCGAATTCCGAAGTACGAATTACTACTAATTATTGAGGAAACGCATCACAATAATTAGTAATATATATACATGTATATACAGGGTGGTTCAGAAATACTTCAACAAACTTTGAGGATGAGTTTTCCACACACAAACAAAAAAATAAAATAAACATATGTCCGGAAATAGTTTGTTATAATCGAAAAATTACATTCAATTCAATATCATGGCCTGATCTAGATCCATTAGATTTCTATCTGCGA